AGTTCCTCCGACTTCTCCGACATTTCTGCTTCTGAAAGAAATGCGAGAGAACTGGGGTATTCCCGATCACGAGTAGAAGCAGCAATGGCGGGGGCCACGGCGGTGGGGGAAGCAACAGAGCCAGGGACAGCAGAGCCAAGGACAGAAGACGCGGTAAAAGTGGGTGCAACGGCCGGAGGGTCCTGCCTGGGTCCAAACGGAAAGCGAAGATATCCGCAAGAGAGCATACGCCCGGCCAGAAAAGCTTGATGTACCCTTGGTTGAAGCGGATCCAACCCATCATAAAAGGCATCCAGAAGCACTCCATGCCATGTACCAACAGCAGTAGAAGCTAGCACAAAAGGGCCTGTGTTATACGAGGAGACTAGTTTGTCTGTCCAAAACTCGCGCAGCGCAGCACGACGTTTTGCCGCAACAGGCGCTGAGGTGCGGGGAAAGACCGCAGTGGGTTTGCGCGGCAGCAAAGGCTCCAACTCGAGGTCTTTTACATGCATAGCCGATGGCCCAAAAAAAAAAGTGAGTTGTTCTCGAAAAATGAAGGGCAGATCGGTGGTGTATCGAACGCCCAACTTGTGTACACATAAAATTCGCCATGTCGAAATACGTGGAGTCAAATCAGAGAGCACCACGGGGAAGTCGGCGGATGCAGGCCGGTAAGCCGGCACAAAAGCAGTAGGAGCAGTAGTAGAAGCGGGGAGCATGCTGTCATCTCGAGCCCCCCTATACAGGGGTTGCAGCTCAGGCCGCTGCCGCCACAACGTATCCGCCACAGAAAGNATGAAGGGCAGATCGGTGGTGTAACGAACGCCCAACTTGTGTACACATAAAATTCGTCATGTCGAAATACGTGGAGTCAAATCAGAGAGCACCACGGGGAAGTCGGCGGATGCAGGCCGGTAAGCCGGCACAAAAGCAGTAGGAGCAGTAGTAGAAGCGGGGAGCATGCTGTCATCTCGAGCCCCACTAAACAGGGGTTGCAGCTCAGGCCGCTGCCGCCACAACGTATCCGCCACAGAAAGAACTTCATGCACTCCCGAAGCAGACAAAATGGCTCGTGATGGGCATTTCATGTAAGAAAAATCGGGAGAATCACCGCGGCGCCCTCCTATGCGCGTATCACTAGCAAGGTCCCAGTCTCGTGAGCGACGAGCTAAGCATCATGAGCCGGCATCCCGCAGGTAATCGCCAATAAGGGCGAAGTCTAAATTCTCGTGGGTGGTGAGACCTAACAACAAGCAACGTGGTGGTCGTGAGCAAAGCGTGCCTCGGCGCACGAAAAGGGAAGAATCGCGTCCAATTCTCTCTTACCGT